CCCCCCCCCCCCCGTCAGGCTCGTTGGTCGCTTTTCTTTAATCGCTTTAATTTTGTTTTGACTTTTCGCCCTGGCTCTAAAAACATTAAGCCTGATGCTCTTTCCAGGCAGTTTGCTCCTCCCGATTCGCCTGAGATCTCTAACCCCATCATCCCGTCCTCGTGTATTGTTGGCTCCCTTTCTTGGCCTATCACCGCCACCGTTCAACAGGCTCTCCTCGCCGAACCCGACCCTGGTGGTGGCCCTCCTGGTACCCTCTTTGTTCCCTCCAGCGTGCGGTCTGAGGTGCTCCAGTGGCTTCACACCAACAAGCTCTCTTGCCACCCTGGAGTGAACCGCATGCTCGCCCTCACGAGGACTCATTTCTGGTGGCCATCCATGATCAATGACATTAAGGACTTTGTTGCGGCCTGTCCCGTCTGTGCCCGAAACAAGTCCGGTACCCAACCTCCGGCTGGTCCCCTGCTTCCCCTCCCAACCCCTAGTCGCCCCTGGTCCCACATCTCCCTCGATTTTGTCACCGGTCTTCCCCCGTCTGACGGCAACACTACCATCCTCACCATCGTTGACCGTTTTTCAAAGGCCGCCCATTTTGTCCCCCTCCCTAAGCTCCCCTCTGCCCTGGAAACTGCCCACCTTCTCACCCTCCACGTTTTCAGGCTCCACGGTATCCCGTCTGACATCGTCTCGGACCGAGGCCCGCAGTTTATCTCCCAAGTGTGGCACTCCTTTTGTAAGTCGCTCGGGGCGTCCGTTAGCCTTTACCTCCGGCTACCATCCTCAGGCTAACGGACAAGCCGAGCGCTGCAATCAGGAGTTGGAGTCCACCCTGCGTTGCCTGGTCGAGTCTAACCCCTCATCGTGGAGTCAGAACCTGGTTTGGGTGGAGTACGCTCACAACTCCCACCGCTCCTCTGCTACCGGCATGTCCCCCTTTGAGGCCTCCCTTGGGTACCATCCTCCCCTTTTCCCTAGTTGTGAATCCGACTGCACGGTCCCGTCTGTGCAGCACCACTTCCGGCGGTGTCGTCGCATCTGGCGCCAGGCCAAGGCGGCCCTCCTTAGGACCTCAGCCCAGGCTAAACAATTCGCAGACCGTCATCGCTCAGCGACACCCGCCTACCAAGTCGGCCAGCAAGTTTGGTTGTCTACCAGGGACATCAAGCTGCGGGACACCCCCCGAAAGCTGGCCCCCCGCTTCATTGGCCCTTTCCCCATCACCCGCATTATTAACCCCTCTGCGGTCCGTCTCCAACTCCCCAGGGCCATGCGGATTCACCCGACCTTCCACGTCTCCCAGGTCAAGCCCGTCTCCCTCAGTCCCTTGTGTCCTCCATCCGACCTCCCTCCGCCGCCCCGCCTGATCGACAACCACCCTGCGTTCACCGTCCGTTCCATCTTGGACGTGCGACGCAGGGGTAGGGGTTTTCAATACCTGGTCGATTGGGAGGGGTACGGTCCTGAGGAGAGGTCATGGATCCCCAGGTCCTTCATCCTTGATCCCAGTCTCATTTCCAGGTTCTTTGCAGACCACCCCGAGAAGCGCCTCAGGTCGCCAGGTGGCGATTCTTGGGGGGGGGGGGTATTGTAAGGGTCCCACCGCCTGCAGCCTGCCTTGCTGATGGCCGCTGATTACCAACACCTGGCGGCCATCAGCCTGATGAGCCTCTCCATCTACTTAAGGCTGCAGCCCGGTGTGATTCAACGCTGGAGCATATCACCTCTCATGGTATAGTACTGTTGAGGTAGAAATGTTTAGGTGAAAAGAATTTGTTCACCTTCTGCTCTTTTTTCCAGTTTCCTGGTTCCTTCGTGTTTTGGATTCTCCTCGTGGCCTGACCTGGATCCCTCTGCCTGTCAGGTGTCCCTCGTGTCTCTTTGCCTCCAGTTGTCAGCCTTCCTCGTTTCCTCTTGGACCCCTGTTGGATTCCCTTCTGCTGCTCACTCCTTGGACTGAAGGACCAGCTCATTCTCCTTCGGGTTGGACTGTAAGGACAAGACGCTCTTTAAATCTACCACTCTGGT